GTCTGTCTGTCTGTCTGTCTGTCTGTCTGTCTGTCTGTCTGTCTGTCTGTCTGTCTGTCTGTCTGTCTGTCTGTCTATCTATCATTGCCATTTCTCTGTGAGTTGTGAAAGGTTTTCAGCACAAGTTGGGTCATCTTCAAGTTCGGGGTCACAAGTTTTTCACCTTGAAAAAGGAATAATCACGTCAAACAAAGGGCTGTTTTTTTCTGTTTATGGAAAGAAATCCACTGTTGAGCTGCTCGTGAAGTTGCCTGCAGCCTCAGATGAACTGGGGTGATGCGTGTGCGCAGGTGCATCCTTGAAAGAAGAACCATGACCTTTTTTTTTTTTTTTTTTTTTTTTGACTGAGTAAGAAGAGCGTGAGAGAGACGCGCGGCGCGCTCCCGCGGCTACTCAGGCTGAGAAAAGGCGCATCCATCCTCCTCCTTTTTTGTTTTTTTATTTTTATTTTATCATTTCAGTCACGTCGCGTTGCTCAGATTGGAGAAGAAACATGAACGGGCGCACATTTATCCTCTTCACGCTCTACTATTAATCATCCAATTTAGAGAATAATCCTAGAAACGCAGCTTCTCAATGTTGATGTTTTTAATGTGATTTAAGGATCTTTTTTTTGCGCTAGAATTCCTTCTGCTACCGAGCGATCTGCACCTCACTGAAGCAGAAACCGAGCTGTTTTTGTAGAAATATTTTGGAGCAGGACGCGGACATATTGATGCAGAAATCACAGCTAATAATAATGATGCTGCTGCTCGGTGAGGAGATATAATTAAGGAAGGAGACACCGGATGAGACTGCTCCAGTCCTGGTCCTGAATGCAGCGGGGACAGAGGCACCGAGGTGTCCCCATCAGCCTGGATGCTGCTGCGCCGCAGGATGACTTATTCCGACCCGTCGTCGGCTAAAGATCTGCTCGGCAGCAGATCCCTCTGTTTCATTTTCATTTGCGCGTTTGGACTCGTTACGCTCTTACAGCAGATCCTCTACGGGAAAAACTACATCAAGAGGTAAGACAATAAGATACAACCAGAGACCACTGGAGTCTTTTCGGTGTCAGAGATTAAGGATAAAATCTGTAATGTTGGGAGGTAGCCTACAGAGGACAGTTATAACCATCCATTTTCCCTTCAGCAGCATATAAACAACTTTCATTGGATTTTTTTTAATTATTATATTTTCCAAAAATGAAAGCATCATGATTCATACCATAAACAGCACTTCAGCTGTGTATGGTAATGTTTCCCCTTTTCTTCTTTTACTTTTTTCCCCCCCAAGACGTTTGTTTGTTTTTTTGTTTCAGATTTCTTGACTGGTCATAGCCTACATCTTATAGAGGCTTCATATATA